CTCCACCCCCCCAGTTACCCCTTCCACCACCACCACCACCCCCCCAGCCACCTCTTCCTCCACCTTCTTGTCTTTTCTGCCATGGAGGCATTTCGGGAGGAGGTGGTTCAATCTCTGTTGGTCTGCCTCCACGGTCAGGGACTCTCCCCATCAGAACCTGTATGGAAAAATAGGTCATTTTCAGAGTTGAAAAATAGTAGTAATAACTTGAAGAGACATATGATTTTCTCCTGTGGACACAGAAATGCTGCCTGCTGTTTTCAGGAAATTTGGCTCCTCAGTGCAGTGCTTGACAGCAGAATCACTACCTCATGTCCTTGTAACACCACAGCAGAACTCTGAAAGTGTTCTCATTTTTCACCTCTAAAACAGAAATAACTGCAGCTAGCTGGCTCACATCACTCTTGTGAAATTTTTATGAAGAACGCTGCACACCTGAAGTATTAGTATTGCAATAAGCAATATACATACTTCATATATAATATATACAAATTCACATATATTCATATATACACATACATATACACACGTATATATACACATATATATTCATATAGAAAAGACTCCTTATGATGTGGCTCTTCTACTTAAATTTCAAAGTTCAAGTTCAAACCTAATCAGCTGGCACAAAACAAACTGGCAAATTCATGTGCAATTCTCAAAGGAACACCAGTTTGCATAACATTAGAAACTACTGACACTCAGTTAAGACCCAGAACAAACAAAACCTACAACAGGCTGCAGTAACACTTCCAAGAAAAGGCAAAAAAGGCATCTTGACTATGGCAGGTATCACTCAGTGTATGAAAAGAGAAACTGCACTGGACAAAGTTAAACAAAACAAACATCTTTGAAGAACAAAGATGTATCCAAGTAGGTCTTTTTGCTGCTGCTTTCATATTTCCTAAACTTTGTGTGATCAATATTAACATTTACTGATCAGTCCCAGGTACTCCAACTAAAGTCCTCTCAAGACAAAAACCTCACCTTTCTCTGAGATCCTACAATAATTAAGAAATTTCAATGTTAAGAATCAAATCATATTAAAGGGTATCTCAATGAGGCAAAAACATTAGAAAAATCTTTAAATCCAGGATTAATAAAAGTAGGTTTAGTCACCATTTGAATGGTAAAACTCATGTCACTACTTGCAAGCTTCAGCTTTTATCACACTCAAGAAAGCAGCACAATGTTGATTCATTACTGCAGCCAAAATTTTATTTTGCAGCAAAATGACATTCCTACAGAAACTTTCATGATTTATAACACAGTGATGAACTAGAGATGTGGGTTTACAAACCAAACAATAATATCCTAGCAATGAGGTACGCAGTTCCACTGAACTCAAGAGGTCAGTTACACACACACACACACACACACACACGTATCACCCTCATCTACATGACTGTGTTTCATCCTGTTGCATGACTGACTACCTAGGAAGATAAAAAAAGGACTTTCTGCAATGTTTACTGGAATACTGCAAGCCTTCCTTTCTTAAATAGAAAAAATTAAACTACCAAGCAAAACCAATGTAATTCTAGAATTCCTTTTGACAGGTCTGTAAACCCCCATGTCCATTTATCATGTGCCAGAAAAGCATACCTTGTTGATAGCACAGGCAGTCTTCTCCCGTGTTGATCCACTACTTGTTCTTATGATCTTGGACAAATCCTCACGAGCAGCAAGAAGGTGAGCTAATGAAATGGTCGACTTTGGAGACAACGCATAGCGCTTGGGCTGATAGATCCGTGCTATTTCATCTGTTTTTACCTAAAGGATAACATCAAACACAACTTACTTGCCAGGTATCAAACATGCCAACAGACTTACTATAAACCACGTGCTGGTCTCAGTCAGTTTCACTTCGAACACAAGGTGTAGCTTCTGAAAATACAAACTATATTGCAAAACATAGTGCCAGTTATCACCAGTTCTCTTCCTGTTGGTGGAGCTATTTCACAGAAAGTGCTGTTGATTATGTTTAATTGATGCTGAAGCTTCACACCAGTACAAAAGAAACTCCTCTATCCACTGGCATCAAACAGATTCTTTAATGCCTTCCAACATGTCTACAGAGTAAAACTTAAGGAGTCCATTCTGCTGTCTCAAGAGCTTTACATAATCATATTCAACAGATCACTTCTAAATGTGATAAAAACAGAGCAGCTTCAAAGTAAGGTAAATTTGTGGAAAAAACCTGGAAACCTATCAATGCAGCAAAACACTTATGCAAGCCATGAAAAAGTGAGACTGAGAAGGGGACAACATTAGATTTTTTCCAAGCATGCTTTGATGTTTCATTTATTTTGCAGAAAAGAAAAATAAATACACTTTCTGGGAAGATCTAGAATGACTTTTAGAGTGAAATAAAACATTTGATATTGGCTAGACCAGACAATACATGCTGAACCTTTACAAGACTGTTTTGCTAGGTAATTACTTTATAATTTGTGAACCCATTTCAGTCTGCAAATTTACCCCTCTTGGAGACTGAACAAGTTACAAAAAACCAAAAAAAATCCCCAAAATGACAAACCATCAAAAGTAAAGAAATGTATCAATATCTATTTAATGGTGGGGAAAAATGCAAGCTAACAAATTTTAAAAAGACAACAATTTGTCTCTTTGTTTAAAAAAACCCCAAAACTCTAAATTACATCAATGCCAGAACATTTTCAATCCCTAAAACCTTCTCAAAGAAGTTATGAATCCTTCAAGAAAAACGGGGGAAAAAAAGATTGAAAACAGTATATAATTTTGAAATAGTATGTAACCTGGTTATTTCTGTAACTGCATATATTTCACATCAACAGTCTTTGTAAGACAGGAAAATGAATCATCTGACTACTTTATCATCAAAAATCTTTTTAAACTATTGTTCTATTTCAAAAGGGCATTCATTGTTTTTCACATTGTTTGAATGGAACAATAGCAAGTGACAAAGTTTTAGTCTGCTTAAGTTAGTCATCAGTCACATCAAGTGCAAGTATACTTTAAATTTGAAGATACATGATTGTATTGGTACAGCTGTAAGGAAGTTATACAAGTAAGGACATCTCTTGGCTTCTCTGAGCTAAATGCCCCCCATTTCCTTTCCTGAGGCATAAAAGCATTCACAACCCCTTGAGAAATTAAACAGTGAGCTATTCCAGTGCAGAACAGCAGCACCTAGACTCATGTCTTCCAGTGAGACTTAGTGAACTTCATGAAGCTGACTCATTGACATGTGTCAATGACAAATCGTGATGTCACAAAGACTTGTAACAATCCATACATTTGGTAAGCTTTCCAAGTTTTAAGATTTTAAAAGCTTGAGCTTTCTACAGAAACCTTTGGAAGGAAAGCTGATCTTGCCGCTCATGAACAAAAACATCTGCCTCCAGCTTCTCACATGTGTCTTCATCAAATTACAAACTTTATGTATCCCTACGCTTTTAGTTTGTATCTTTTAGATACAAACAAGATATATTTGCAGCTCAGAAATATAATGAGTATTTTTTAATATACAGAGTTCTAGGAAATAATACAAATGAAATTATCACAATTAAAGCAACACCAGCAGAACAAATACAGAGGATTGCTTTGGAATTTTTAGTGACCTGAAGGATTACAAGCAATTGTGTGATTTTTTTCACACAAGATACTATTGAAACAACCTGTTCAACTGAAAAGCTGTTCATCTAGTAGCACAGTACCCAAAATAGGGGACAGTCACTGTAACCTCTCCGACTTTATGAACAGTCACTTTTTACACCCAACCTATATTAAGGCCCAGTGTTTGTCTTACTTTTCCATCTGCATGAGAAGTCCTGAGGTTCCCTCCTAGTTTACTTCACTGGAGGGTATTAGATATAAAAAAGAAAACAGGGATATGGGAACTTTAATTAAAGTGAGAAACCCCAACAAAGGATGCTATAATTTCTAATTGTGAAGCTATAAACAGTCACAAAGGATGGACTGTGCCACCTGGTTAATTCCATCCCCTTCCTCAATGTCTAGGATTTGGAGATTACAACCTGACATGAGAAATAGGCTGGAAAAAAGATAAGTGATGGAAGCACATTTATGTATTTACATGGTGTGCATATTCTGTAGGAACAGTAGCAGACTCCCACCTACAGGAAGCAAAAAATACATCAAGTTTACCTTTGCTCTATCAGACCAGCCAAAAGACTGCACAGTCACATCAAGCCTCTTCATCAACATCCGCCGTCGACACTCGTACTCACTGCAAAGAGCATCATTGATTTTTTCCAATCTTTCCTGCAGTGTTACAATCAGAAATTCAAACAGTCAAATACATAAAGTTATAAAACTCAATTGAAAGTTAGCCCCATCCATCAACTACAATGTCTATTCGAAGGTGATCACTATAAACCACATAGCATCTATGTAATGCTACAGTAGGATGCGTGTAAAAATGATTTGAAAGTGAACAATGGATGAATTAACACAAGGTCTGTTTTATAATGTCAATTCTGGAAGTATCTGATTATCACTGTTAGTATTTAGCAATTGAATTTTAGAATTAATATTCAGCAATAGAACAGTGTCAGTAAAAAGGCAAAGTTAAATGAAGCCATGAAATGCACTTATTTTGACCATCTTATTAAAAACTGAAAAGAAATGGAGAAACTTTTCTTTACCACTTGGTCAGAGTTCAGAGGTTTTGTTAGCAGTGATTTCCCCACATGGTTATTTTTAACTTTTGAGAGAATGTCCTTTATCTGAAAAAAAAAAACACATCTCAGAATACAAATGATATTTAGATTTATTTCAGCAAAAATTGTTACAATCTCATTTTGCTACTCAGAGGATCAAACACAGCACATTCATTTTAGCAGACCCATGAAAACACATACACATCTTCTTATGATCCACTATAAAAAGATTTCCTGAATACTTTTATAAGATGACCAGCCTCTATAAAAAGGTATTTTATCACTTCTGCTCCCATTAACAGAACAACAGTTATATAGCAAATTTATCAAGTGCATACAGAAAGTAAGACTAGCTAAATTACTCATTTCAGAAACTACTAAGTGTTGTAACTACAACAATTGGAAGTTTGGAGTTCTGTTGCCAAATGTTACACTGGGCTACAAAAAATCTGGTGATGGGTGCTATTAAGAAAGGTAGGAGATATGATAGGTATGCAGTCATTCATTCTCATGAATTTTATTCTAATCCTGTAATTGGTTCCAGCTAATATTATGTTTAAAACTTTTGCATTCAATCCAAATCAAATCTGCTTATCCTTCTTCCACTAGTTCTAAGTAATTAGAAAAGAAATATGCTCTACCTTCCAAACCACTGTGTTCTCCCTTCTCATTACAAGAAACCTCTACCTCCTCTTCTTGAGTGAACTTCCTTTAGCAAAGCTCATCTAAAATCTCTACCATGAATGCCCACAACTCTTGTACATAACTTAAACACAATTCAACTGATTTTTCAGCTGGAGTTGACAACATACATATTAATGTTCCTCCAAGTTTTGTACAGTCTGATGGAGAGAACTACATCTTCATTTGGTTTAGTAAATAACCATGGGGAATCAAGCAAAATGAGTAAAACTAGAGATAGTTTTCTTTTATATATCAAAGGAAGGATTAAATTAGTCCATGATCTACAGTAAAACCTGTAACTGGAGACAGCCATTAGATCCATTTGCAAGTATTGTAAGACTTCAGGTGGGCAACAGGCATTTACATTACGTTTGTCATAAAGGCTCAGTTTTGAGATTCACATGTTACAGAAATATCATCTCTACTGACTGCTATGAAAAAAATCCCACAAGTCAAAAATAAAATTCTAGAGAACCTAGTTAACTGTTAAAAGAAATACTTAGAAAATTAACTCTCATATGTCAGGATTTTTAAAATTATCTCAATTTTTTTTGGCATATACGAAGAAAAATTCTGATTTCAAATTTTGTGTGAAAACCAAGGTGTATGGATCTTGTTCTTTCTTTTTACATCACTGCTGGACAGCACACTGGCAGGTTAATAACCCAGAAAAAGTCTGAGGTAAATATATTGTACAGTAAACAAATTAAGGAAAAACACTGTTTTGACTCTATCAGAAAAGACAGCCCAGTAGCACCTGAAAAGTGGCAATCTAATTACTGTAATACTCCTTATATTCCATTTGTATCAAAAGAGGTTAGAGCAAAGGGTAAAGTTCAGTTCCATGTACCACATTGATCCCAACACTCCTCTTTCTCTGATAATTCTTCCTTCTCTATAATATTTTTCTTTACAAAAAACACTCCAAGGCTGTCTGTCTTCTGAATGTAGCCAGTTTTTTTACTGAAGCTTTTACACAGTGCCATATTCCACTCCAAAATGCAAACGTACCTAAGCACAAACTATGTTTGAAGAATCAGAATATAAAGTTTATAACCAGCAATAGAATAAGATCAGTATGACAGCAAGAGATGAACAGATCAGTAATTAGTATAGAAGAAGGAATGAACAGCAGAAGAATTAAAATGCTATTGGGTAAGATTGGGTAAGATACTCATACAATTGAGGTCAGAAATAGTACCTCAAAGGTTGACAGGAAGAGAGTCTATCAAAATGAGACCAGATGCTGAAACAAAAACCAATACAATAAAATTAAAAGTCCTCAATGTAATTTACAGTTAGAGCGTGAAAGAAGATCTGAAAACCAGTGATGCTGGATACTACCTAGAGATTAGAATTATTTTAAGTTTGCAGCTGCAAGGACGACTAAGAGGTAAACACAACACTGAGCTCCACATACAACCCACACATTCTGCCATCACAAGTCAGTCACTGCTGCATACTCCAGATTTCCATGAACTGAAAAGTGAAAGGAAGTTCAGAGAGAACAATTAAGGAAGACAATCAATGCAGATCCGAACTAGAAAAAACAAAAACAGCTAAATGAAACAATCCTTTACTGACTTAGAAACTGCCCCCAAATTTCTGCAATGTCTTCATTCCAAGTTAAAGAGAATACCTATGTAATTTTTATCCAGCACAGCTTTACTAATCAGTAACAGTTAAGATAGAATCTCTTCACTGATGAACTGGTCTATGTTTTTGACACACTGTAAAGTCATATTCAGATTAGTGAATCTCCACTTACTCCCATCAGCAGGGCTCATGGGGAAATCCTACAGCTATAATGGTGGAATAAACTGAGCTGCCTTACAGCTGCAGAATGCATTGTTCAGCCATGACTGATGACAGAGGTATGAGCAGAGGAGCTCTGATACACAATAGTCTGCCACAGGACAAGAACACAACTGATGTGAGAATCTGTGCTATAATCTATATTCCCACAAATGATAGCTGCCCTGGATTGAGAAGGGTATGCAGAAGTTTAAAAATCCCACCACTATCCAGAAAGAAGTCTGCACATGTAAGTGGGAACAAAACCAAATGCAGTGCCCAGATAAAAGAGCAGTGAAAAAATACTCAAAGAAACATAAACCAAATTGTAATAGCCAAATCATCCTAACGTTTTTACACATTCAGGTGTAAAAAGCAAACCAAATAATTAAAAATAGATGTGGACAAGTATATTTGACATACTGTGTAATCAATGACCCTGGTAACACTAAAAATTTATGGGATTGCTTTGGGAGCTCACACACTCTCTAAATAGAAAATGAAAATTAAATAAGCTGTTGGATCTGCTTGAGACAGAAATACCAAATTCAAATATGCAACATAAAAATAAATAGCTACTCTGTTACCAAATAAAGTGTATCTTTATTGAACACGACATTTCTCATTTGTTTTGTTATTTTGTACTAATGAAAAAAAAAATTAGCTCACATTTCTTTACCATCTTCAATGTATTTATTAAATATCCTCATCTTCTGTCAAAATAGAGCAGTCATTTTTACATTTGACACCTTTTGCACAGAAAAACATCATATATATGTATGCACCTCCAGGGTTTTTCTGGATTTTGAAAAAACCTGACCTGCAGAAAGGTTATTAATTCAATTAATTGAAAATAGCAATTATTAATTCAAAATAGCAACACTTTGAGGAAAGAATGTTGCCTTAATTAGTCATAAGGTGTACTGTACATTCGCAGAGAAATCACCTAAAATATTAAGCACAAAATATTTGTAAGCCTCTCTTTCATATACCTGCAGATAAATTCAGTGTTTATCTAGCCTTAAATACATTTCAGTTTGGCCCTCATGTCTGGTGAACAGGACAACTCTTCAGTCTTGTTCCCTGCAGTTACTTACTGTCCAGGCACCATTACATCTGTAAAATTACTACAGATGAACAGTTAAATGAAACACATTAATTTAAATATTAATAAATTCTAGTATGCATACCCAAATAATTAAAAAAAAATAATTCTACTCATATTTCGCTTAAGTGTTATGTTAGCTTAATTTTGACTTAGTTTGTTCAGAAGCCCTTTGTAATTTCTATTCATTCAACTGATGTGTGAAAAGTAGTGGAGAACTTTTAATAATGTGGGCAAAAAATGTTCAGAAGTCTTCTGAATAATAAACCATTAAAAGTTTTTTTCAAATAAACAGCATTAGAATGGCACTTTTTAATTAGGGGTGAAATTCACACTGTCTTGATTAGAAAACAGCCAGATGTAACTAGTTACAAAGCACAACACTGTGTGAACTCTTCTGAATCTCTCAGAATGATCATTTAGAATTTATGGAGGTTTTGGAACTATGTTTCAGATTGCCTTATAGATTCCCCCTTTGTAAATATACAAGGGAACAGCATCTTAACTGAAAAATTACTATTAGTTTTTCAGTAGTATATAGTAAGATATATTTAGTGGTAGAAAGCTGTAATACTGTCTATTTTTCTCTCATTTTCTTAGGTATATTGACAACCACTATTCTAGGTAATTACAGGAGATACAAAAAATACTTGTTATGATTGTACATTCAAAGTTTGAGCTACTATAAAACTCATTTTGAATGAAGAAAGCAATCCTGATTTTATACTAGTCTCTTAAATAAATTGGAAAATCACTTGAAACAATAAATGTTCTAATATTCCATACCAAAATACAGTGTGTGATCTGGCCTTTGGTAGGTTGCTGCTGCACAGCCAAACTATTCTCAGAACTACTCCCACAGCTACTGACAATGCTGAAGATGCTAGACAGAGACAAAGAGTAGACATGTTGAAATGGTGCAGATACATTTGCAGATACACTAAGTAAAAATACTAGATCAGTATGTAAGTCTGTATTATGAATGATATAATACTAAACATCAACAGTGCAACTTTACGCAGAATCTAATTAAATCAAAAGAAAAAAAATATTTGGAAAAGTAAATGGATCATTTCAAGTGAATTTCTGTGAGCATATAAAAAAAGGTAACAAAATAGTGCTCTTAAAAAAAACGTTTACAAAGCCAGTGAACTTTAATTGGTGGCACCACCTTTCTAAAGCAGCTATACCTACAAGTGTAGGTCTCTAAATCTGTCATCTATCAAAATAACTCCAAATTTGTCCTATGTTAAAGTAATGGATGAAGGACAAGTAAACACATAACAGAAATTCTACAAAATCTCCTGCGAGGTAAGAAAAAATCCTTTGTTTATAAGGGATGAAACACACAGAGAACAAATTACACTGTTAATCTGGAGTCACAGAAGATGAACAAAGTAGTTTTGCCACCTTTCTACACACTGAAGTGAGTACAAGTAGTATAACCACTGTGGAACTGACAGACTTGAAAACTATTGGAAAATAGTCCATGCAGCACTATTAAAAAAACCAAACCCTAACCAAAACCAAAGATAAAATGCTTTGAAGATCCTGCTCATTTTTGCATTTCTGAAAGTGCGACAGTTTATACAAATTGGGATGGCAACACTATGCACAATTTAAGCTTGTGATGCTGTGTGATAGGAAATGCTGGAAGAGAAAATGTTCTAGTATCCCTATATGTGATATGTGCTCCAGGTCTGGTCTTGCTGTCCCACAACTGCAGAACTGGAGTCCCCTCGCTATAATGGGGTGAAACTAAATCTGTACCTGAGCAGTGAAGCAAGGTATTGAACAGGGGAGGCCCTGGGCCATGGCTGCAGCCTATAAACACTCATGGATGTAAACACAGCTAACACTCACAGAGGGAGATCAGCAGAATCAGGCCATTAGTTACCAGCTCTGACATTTTCCTTCCCAGAACAGTGCTAGAATTGTTTCTTCATGCCTTCAAAAATATTTACTGAATGTAAAGATTTCCTTAGAACTAAATAGATCAAGCACAGTTATAGTGCGGGAACAGGCAGTTCCATTTGCACCTGGGTGATGTCTTTTATAAATTAATGTATTAAAGGTTTTGTTTTGTCACACTGAAGACAGATGTAAGAAAATCATGCAAGTAACAGGCCCTCTCCCCAAAATTTCTGAATGTTCAACTGCCCACTGGTTGATGAGGAAGAAAGAAAAAAAACCAAGCACAATCATGTAAAATTATTAAATTCAAAGACTCAGCAGCAGAAGGAGTTTTTATTCTACTCTTAAGGGGCGATCAAGTCACCCTCTCCCCTAACACCAGAGACAGATGAAGACCAAAACTTTTAGGTGTGTGACAGAGAAGATAAACTGCACCTCAAAAACCTATTTACATTCTGCAGTAAGGAAATCAGATTAAGGATCACAGTGAAATGAGTCAGAACCTTGAGGGACACAACAGAAAGAACTACCTTAAGGTTTAAGTTGGCTTATTCACAGAATAATGGCAATTCAGGCATTTTCATCCTCTTCTGCAACTAAGGCAATACTACCAACAAATCCACACTTGCAATTAAGAAATTAATAAACTAAAAAGAACTAATTTAAGTTTTAGATATTAATTTCAAATACATCTTAGAAATTACTTCAGGTATATAAATGCACAATCAGTTATTACCCAAAGTTTTCTGCTTGCTACAGCACATTTTAAATGGGCAAGAGGAAAACTTATACCTTAAATTTGCAAGGCAAAGTATGTCTGATCAGGTACATTGCAACCTCAGGGAAATGATGAAATACTTCACCTCATAAAACAGTTCAACTTAAAAACACTAAGCTGGTTTTCAAAATTAAAATGCTTTTGCACTTGTCAGATAGGGCTTTTGTGGGTGAGACTGCTGGGGCCTTAACAATGAATGCTTACAGAGATAGTGCTTACAGTTTAGCAATAGAGAGAAGACGCAAAAGGCCATACCTTTTGTTCCACACTGGTTAACAAGGGAGGAATACCAGAAGATGAGGAGTTTGGCAGACCCAGTGCATCACAAATAGCTTGCACTTCCTGAATAACATCACTGTGCTTTTCCAAACGAGAGTCTTTAATTTTCTTGCTCTGCAGTATCTTTAAAGCCTGAAGTTCTGTACTTAGAAATACTAGAGAGAAAAACATCATAATGGCAGATTTAGATACACTTAAGTATTTATGCATCTACATTCTCAGTACAGCTACAATATATACATTATATAAGATAATCATGATAGAAGGGAGACTTTCTCAGTTCTCTCCTGAACAGGTAAGTATGTTTCCTATTTTTTACTTCAATTTCCTCTCACCTGACTTCCTATCTTCAGTCTACACATTGCATTTAACTGTTCAACTCCCTTCTGTGACCAGACCTCAAGTTCTTTGGCTAGTTTCATATTACCACATATGGTGGTTCCTGCTGCCATTCCTTTGTCCAAGTCCAACCTAAACTTAGACCTTGTTTGTCTGTTCAAGCTGCCCTGAAACCTCTCACAAAGACAAGAAGCAAGGTCTCAGTTCCAGTGAGCTGTAACAAATGTATCAAGAGAGAGATCAAGAGGCCTCAGTAGATTGCACCATACTTACATAAAAATAAATTTTAGTTTCTGCTAAAACAGCTTTCTAATGTTGCTCTTTTTTTCACTTTGCACAAGTGAGTTGATGCATGCTGAGCTAGTATGTAATGACTGTAGACATCAACTTAGAAAAACATAAAGAACTCTTCTGTGTAAATTGTACAGTTATGATAAAGCATGCACATAAAATACTGTATTATAAATGGGAAAATTATCATTACTCACACAGGAGTTTAAGACAATCTTCTTTCTCTTTTAATCTGTCTTTGATGTCTCCAGACACCAGTGACGAATATGGACAAGACATTTCTCTCAGAAAGCCACTAATTTCAAGCTGGAAGCTCTCTATATCTTTCACACCTATGGAAAAAAATACACAATTAATGGGTTTTACAGAAACATCAAACTGCAATCTAATTTTTTTAACATACACTTACATTGCAGATTTCAACAGCCCAAAGATTAACCACCTACCACCCCAGCAACATTTTTCTTAGGAAAGTCCAACATACAAGCAGACATGCCTTCTAATAGTATCTTGTACTCATGCTTTTAATGAGGTAATGCTACAGCAGTCTATGAAGACACGAACACAAATGAACATCACAAGGAAGTGAACAGTTTATGTCACTAAACAGTGTGTCAGTGTAACTAATTTTCTGATGAAGAAGTGACAGGAGTCATGAGCCCATTATTTTCAGTGACTGGTTTTAGTTCCACTACTTTTTGGTGAACACATAAGTAATATAAAATCTCATCCAAACTGCAGCACTTGACAGAAATAATCAGGCAGCACTACCGAGCACTTTGTGTATCCACACACGGTGCTGACTGGAACACTGCATTGGACCAACAGCCAGAAATACCCATCACTGCAATTTATGCCATCAAAACACCATCACATGTGTGAATGTACTTTTAACATTTATGTGTATCTAAAACCACCCCAAATCACTTTCTTTCTCCCTCTTGAAACAGTCTTCACAATACAAGGCCTTAATCTAAGAGCCACATAAACAGAAATATCAGCCTGAGTTTGGCTACCTTTCAGCTTTCTTGCAAACTTCAACACTGTAATTTCACTATTAGCTGAACAATATGGGCCTAAATCCACTGAGAAAATAAGAAATTAACATTCATATACCATCTGTTGCAGTGATGCTTTCTTCCATATTACAAAGTGATTTTATCTGGGAACCTAACCAAATGCAAAGCTCAAAAAATTCTGGTGAAGACAACCCATTTTCTGCTGCTTTTTTCAGGGCCTCCTCCTCCAACAGGGCACCCGTGTACCTGCACAGACAGATGAACATTAGTAATAAAAAATATTATTAACACCAATTTTATTATTATTTATTTATTATTTATTGCATTTTTATTAACACACACATAATATACATGTTTTCAAATTATTTTACTCTAAGCTGCTTAGTAACTACACTTAAACGAATTAATCTTTCTACATCCCTTTCGTCAAGGTTTTACTCTAAGCTGCTTAGTAACTACACTTAAACGAATTAATCTTTCTACATCCCTTTCGTCAAGGAATAATTCAGCCTTTTTTTTTAAAAAACACCAAAAAATTATTGGTCATTTATAAACAAAACGGTTTGTCAGAAAATATCAGACTTGCATTTTCACATGTGTATGTGAAAACAGACTTTGATCTCTCAGAATACGCCTGGCAAAGAACTCAAGTATTAACTCAAGTGTTTAGTCAAATTTCCTCCTAACAGTAACAACTGACTGCCCTGGACTAGTGGGAATAACATAACCGAAAAGTGAATTCCGCACAGTTGCGGTCCCGTCCCACCCGAAGCACATCGCGGGAGGCGGGCAGGCACCACACACCGAGGCGTGTAATTCGGCCCCAGTGCCGACCACGGCTGCTGCACCCCCCGGAGCGCCCCGCTCTTCTGCCCTCCCTCACTAAACCGGGGCGAGCCCCCCGGCCCCCGCTCCGGCAGAGGCCCGGCCCCGCCGAGCCCCCGGCGCAACGCGGGGCCCGCTCCTCCACCGATCCCGCGCTCCCCTGCG